GACATAAATAAGATGCAGGAGAGGCAATATCTTAACTGCACATCCTCACATCCATCAGAAGCCTCTAGGTCACCCTATAACTGCATTTTTTTTCTGCCATCCCTTTCAGAAAACCAAAATAATACTGTACATCACTTGAGACTTGTGTACCATAATACTAAAATTTCAAAGCATAAAACCTTGAGATTTGAAAGCTAGTGGACTCCTTATACAAAAACTAGATAGATGACACTGTTCTGAAAATTTCTATACCAGCAAATGAATTAACAGGTTGTACTGGATAGTGTTTTAACCATGCCATCCTTCCCCTTAAAAAATCATCTGACAATAAAACCAACTGAACACATTAAATAAGAAATAAGTACAGCACAGTACAGTACATCATAATATTGGCTAACACATTTTACAGTTTGGGATAAAATACTAACAATGGGAAATTAATCAATAATCTTACCTATGAAAGAGACCATTACAGGTAAATCATATTGTAACTTGGTAAAGGTGATCACAGAACTATGAAGAACACAACACTTGTCTCTGTCTCAGGATGGTTCTCAACAGTCTAACTTACACTATCAGGTAATGGTAATGACTTAAAATGGATCAAAATGACATTAATTCCATTATGCCCTTGAACCAATTTGACCCATCATAACGATCCAAAGTAATGAGTCTGTTAACTGCCTCGTCTCCCAGGAAAACTTTACTTTATCTTTTAGAAAGTACTGTACAGTATTAGTAAACAACAGACTTACTGTTCAGAACACATTGAGGGAGTTACACTGTACATATTTCTGAAAACATATCAACAATTATTGATGATTTGTGAAATATCAAAACTTGACTGTGCTCACATCAACATTTTTGTCCATAAAGCAAAGTAAGTCAAAATGGGGAGAATGATGTGGACAAGAGTCAGAACATGGCGGAAAAGAAAAAGAGACTGGATGTTAGGAAAAGAAGAGTGAAACTTATGAAAGAAAGTGTAGAAGGTATAAATAGATTCTCAAGGATTCATTCATTAATCTTTACTTACATGTGGGGATGAAATTACACATCTAGTCACAGTAATATTTCACTAAACTCCAACCCCAACTTAACTATCACCATGAGTCGCTGCACTGCAGAACTAAGTAGATGTATTTCCTCATTTTCAACAAGGAGAAAAATTTTCATATACAAAATTTTGAGCATGTGGGCCTTGGGGAAGTGAGCAGTAGAGTTTAAGGCAGGTAGTGAATAGTGCAGGGTGGGGGCCAACAGTTGTACAGAGATGGTTGATATGATCTGAGTGAAGAAGTCTGTTGGTAGTAATCACGAAAACAAAGTATTGCTAATATGAATAATTTAGAAAGTAGACAATCTAGGTGGAGTTGGAGGCTGGGTCAAGGTGCAGGCGGCGGATATGCAGCTTCAGATTATCTACGCGGTTGGATCCATGAGGACAGTACGGACAACGGAAAGGGCGCTCCCCAGAGTGGGTCAGCATGTGGCGCTCCAAGTTCTGCTTGCGATTCACACCCGAGATGAACCGGCCGCACACGGGGCATTGAACACCAACGCCTTCATCGGCCCGTGGCAGGGACCCACTCCGCCCCTGCAAGGAGGAAACCCAACTTAAGAGACCGAGAATGGAAGGGTCTGTGCTAGATCTCAACACTACTGTACTATAGTGACAGCATGAAAACAACAACATGCCTTAATATCACCTTTGATCAATACTTAATACTGTATGGGATATTCACTTTTAGCTGCAGGATACTGTGACGCTCGGCCTCGAGAGTTAGAGGTTAGCATGTTTAAGAAGAACGTGTTTTTTCAAGTTTTCTGAACGGTTGGTACGGTGTGGACAATAGGGACAACCGAAGGGTTTGATGTCTGTGTGGGTCAGGGCGTGACGAGTTAAATAATATTTCTTCTTAGTGCCCGAAAATGACTTTCCACAACTAGAGCAATAAACCTTATCATCTTGCTCTTGCAGGGGCTGCTGAGTGGCAGCTACGATGTGGTGTTTGGCTGTGTATGGGTGGCAGTTGGGGGCATGGTGGAGGGGGGTACGAGGGTATAGTAGTGGTACCACCCTCTGCATCGCCACCGTCTGCAACACACAAACAGCAAATGTTAGAGCGATGGCAGCAAAGCCAAACCCACTAGCCCAGTCCATCCAACACTCCGCCGACCACTATCATCACCACAGGAGCCACATCTTGGCTGTCACCTTAAAATATTCATCTCAAGCTGGGATTCCCAAAAATGCTTTAGTTTCCTTTAAAAAATAAGTTAAATTCTATAATAAAGAACATTTCCATTAGACAAAGAAAGAAAAGTATATATCTGTTTCATTACTGTATCTAACTTTTTCTTGGTTTTAAAATATTCACATTAACTTAGATAGTTTAATTAAGTCTTCACTGACAGTTCAACTATTAACATAATTCAAGATGCCTCACCAAAGGCTATTTTGTTTAAGCAGAAGAAGCTTTGGGCTCTGTGGGTAAGATCAACTGTGTTCACCTTCCCTGCCACACCACACAAACACCGCTAGATTGAGGAACTACCTTTATCTGGGCCACTGCTAGATGTGACCGCTTTACTTTTATGAAATCAGACGACGTCACGATGAGTGCTTTGTTGACCTGTCCACGTCAGTATTAACGGTGGGAAGGGAATGGGATGAATGGATGTTACCCCCTAGATGTAGAGGCTGGGTGTTCTTCAGGTTATAAATAACATGATGGGCAGGGTTAGTGACCAGATCACGGTGGATAGTGAACATGTGGGTTTTCAGATTGCCAATCCTGTTGGTGCGGTGTGGACAGTGTGGGCACCGGTAAGGCTTTTCCCCGGTATGAGTCAGCATGTGACGTTCAAGATCCTGGCGTCGATTGCGTCCGTGGAACCCTCGACCACAAACACTGCATGACAGTAGGTCCCCTGGCACTCCCTGGGCCCCAGACGAAAGGGTGTGAGCTGCAGACCCCGCAGAAACGGCCAACAACGCCGTCGGCAGTCCCGCCTCAAACCTGCGCCCCTGCAACACGAAATATCTTTCCTCAGTTGCCGCTTCTTCAACTGATTAGAAATGACTAATAACGCTAACTGAAACGCCATGACAATGTCTTCAATCAGAGGCAGTACAGGACAGCAGTTACATCATCAACATATTATAAATCACCCAAACATTTGTTAATGTGTTTCAGTCACAAATGCACAAAGACATCAACTGTCACACACAACCACACACTATAGTACAGCATAAACTTTTATCTGGGAGTCTAATACATGTACTACAGTAATTGATAAAATACACTACATAGTACAGTACTTTATAAGAGTATACTAATGCAGTTACCCAAATTTTCAATACTTAACCAGAACCTAAAGAAACCTAAATATTTTCTTTTATGACTTAGTTACATTTTGTCTTTCTTTCAATGAACCGCCAGAAATGTATTACCAGGTAGAAAACACCACAGGAATAATATTAACTATGCATAAAGAGATCCGGTGAAGTCGACTGCCACTCTACTCTTACGTCAACAAAAGATTCAACCAGCCACAAAATGACTCGATATAATGACAAGATTATTAATATCTGGAAATATCAATGTAGTTACAGTTAAGAAATTATCTGTGAAAGGCAATACTGTAGATACATAAATAATTCAAATTTTATGAATTTCAAAACAAAGAAGACAATAAAAAATAAAGTGTGGTGGCATGAAGTGTGCTATGCCAGTGTGGTCCATGTACAGGTCTCAGGCTTCAGGTGTGTTGTGTCTGTACTGTATTGCCCCTAGAACATCATTAGCCCTGTATGTAGAGATCAGTTTATGGATCTACTGTACTTCACTTACAATCCATCCTGCATTATGTTTACTACTGAATGGGATAGTTGTGCATCTACCCAACAAAACGGAATAAGAACTAAACAAAGGGAACAGCAGCTAAAATTACCACACTGAGCATGACAACCACTTGTCCAGCCGGGCCATGAGATCTCTCTAATGGTGTACTGTAATAGTGATTGTAGAGTTGTTGCTGTACACAGGCATAATCCTCAAACCCACATTGATGTATTATGGCTGAAACAGACAAACCCATTGCTTTCCTTGGCACTACCCATAAACAGAGAGAGGGTGAGAAAATCTGGTAGTTAAAGAAATATGAGGAATAATGGATAAACTTGAGAAAGGTGTATCTGCTACATGTCTTACTAATTCCTCACAATGCCTACCACCACTTACAAGATGATGGATATACACCCAATATTTGGAAGGTGAATATAAATTAAATTCTTTTCTTATTTATAACTATTTCAAGCTTTACTGAGGACTCTTACAGTCAGTGGTCCCTTGGTCAGATCATAAAAGGTGTTTGTCCATTCATGGCTCTTTGATATACAGTAAGTATAAGTGTTGTACAGACCTGATACTCTGGGCTATGGTCACTGGGTCCTGTCTACCCATGCTATATTTTACTCTTAGTTCACAAAGCTGTTAGGTCACCATGTTGTCAGTGACTATGGTATATACTTGGGCATGAGGGAGCTCACCATATCCATTTTTTTTTGTATTTAATTCCCTAACTTAAGTATTCTACAGTATATGTTACACAACACCATAAAATATCTGAGTAAATAATAATGAAAGTACAGTAATCATGAATCCAGGTGGGACAAATTTTACGTAGGGAAAAGTACCAAGCAAGTCCTTATGTGTGTAGATAAACAGAGACAATAAACTGATCTTATGATGCTACTCAGTCAACCAGTTTGTCAAGGATTCACACACTCAGGTTGGATCACAAGAAGATTAGGCACCCCAGTTTATTTTATTTGATGAGCAACACCCCAATACTACCTGGGGTGGTTAGGTTAGCAATAAGGTGTTAAATCATCAGGTGAAATAAGCTGGGGTGATTAATCTTCATGTGTTCTCTCAGGGTAAACATTCCACACACAGCCACTCTAGCTGTCCACCTTCACAGAAACAACCAAGTCAAGATTTATCATCTTTTATTTAATATCTCTGGCTTTCACAGGAGCTTGAGGTCATGAGAAAAAAAAATAACAATAATACTACATCCACAGTAACAGACCTCAGGGGGCTATATCAATACAGTGCTACGGCAGAATAAAAGTAAGATAAAATAATAATAATAATAATAATTTTATATAATGCAAATGAAAAGTGATGGTGAAAGATTGCATTACACATCCATCATTTATTTTGGTTACAGCTTACAAGTTATAGTACATACTGTATACAGTGTACACAAACTTTAATAATTTTATTCATTCCTCTTGTACAGTGACAGTATCAAACAGTTCATTCACATAGATATCATTAATTTCTTTCACATAAATACAGTATATTTACAAATATAGGTAAGAAATATCCACAATCTCTCTCAGAGTCATACGGTATTAATGGTTCTGTTACACAGGTATATAGAACACGTATCAACAGCCGAGTCCAAACTGATTTAGTATCAAATGTTCTTCACACAGAAACAGTGCTAAACATTTCTCTTCGTGCAGATACAGTATAAAACATTTTCTTTTACACCGATACACTGCAGTGCCAAATATTTCTTTCACTGAAACTCTTTATGCATTTGTCTTTCAAGTTAAAAAAGTATACAGTACTACCAATTTATTTCACAATGATAAAGTAAAGTACTCAATCATCAATTTACTTAACAGTGATAAAGTAATAAAGTATCACCTTTAGTATCTTTCTCAGGTAGACACAGCATCAGACAGGTCCTGCATCAAATAAGTCCACTGTAAGGGACCTGGTGCTCACTCACTCACTCGTACACACTAACAATCAAAGTGAGGTGTGAATCACTGGCAAGCTGCCCCACGAGGTTGTCCAAGCCCCTCGGAAGCCACCACACACATCCAGTTCATTCTGTTTCCCACACTTGAGGTGTTGTCTTTCTTGGATAACACTCACCTCTTTGAGTTAAGTTACACTGGCTTGAATTATATACAGTTGGGTTAGACTGGGTTGGCTTGGACTGGATTATTTAAGGTTAATTTGAATTTGATTGACTTAAGTTAGGCTTGGTTGAATTATCTTGAGTAAGGTTGGATTAAATTGGGTGTGTTCTGTGGGGTGGGGTGAGGTGGGGTGAAATGAACTGAACTGCATGGGGACGGGTTAATCAAACAAATAAATCAGTACCGTCAATAACACCCAGAATCCCCGGACTTGATGACTTGAATTGATGATCCGCTCTAGTCAAAGTAAAGTAACCCTTACGTCTCTCTCATGCACACAGCATCGGTAAAGAAAGTCTGACCATTACACCCACAACTATTGACCGTGGTACATGTGGTTCTCTAACTCTATTAATTTGATATTTATTTTGAGAACAGGAAAGTTTCAAGAGACCCACTTTAGCAGTTTGAGTGACGGCTGGATACAAACACGACCGATGGAAATTTCACGTTCATTGTGTGTGTGTGTGTGTGTGTGTGTGTGTGTGTGTGTGTGTGTGTGTGTGTGTGTGTGTGTGTGTGTGTGTGTGTGTGCGTGTGTGTGTGTGTTAGTAAGATTGTAATAAATTTATACGTCCATCTTTTGTTCTAATCCATAAATAACAAATAACATTTAATCTTTTCTGTCTGTGAATGTAAAATCCTTACCATGTACAGTAAATCAAAATGGATGAGACTGTAAATCAATATTAACCTGATTCCTTGTATGTTCTAAACAAGTAAACAAATAAATACATTGAAAATAAAATATATATTTTTTTTTAAATTTGTGAGTCTAATGTCACAAGGGATGAAAAATACAAAGATCAACCTGATATAACAATTGGTGGCAGGGGGAGGAGAGTGACCGAGATCTCTTTGGCGAGGTGAAGAAAACTTATGAGGCATCCCAAGTACAGTACCAAAATGTGGAAGTCCTGAATTATTCCATCATATCCAACAAGAGTCCTGGATAAGGGATTAATGTCTTTATTCTTTTCTTTTAAGCTTAATACAAATTATAGAAATGGGATTTATTTATAGTTTCGTGTGATTGTGGTGAACCTCTATGATGCCATTAATGATGAATCAAGTAATGTTAATAAGAAGGACAGACATATCTTGATCATACAGTTCCACATGGGGGTAAGTACTGTACTTAAGACAATATGGAGGAGAGATGGTGCTTTAATTTCTCACTTTTTCACAACTCAAGTAATGCAGCAGCTGGAGTCCCACAGGTATCTTGTCAAAAGGGCTACCATACTTACTGCCACCATCTGCTAAAGGCTGATCACTGCCAGATGACAACACCTCATAGAGATAACCGTCACCCAGCTCAGAGAAAGACAACACACAAGAAACTGGCTATAAGCTTGCAAAATGCTGTATTACAGAGTCAGTTATCTAAATCTTCGGAATGAGTTGTAAATGTGAGGAAGGCAGCAAGCGGTGAAACAAACTTCAGTACATTAGGCAATGATAACTTGTTCCAAATATTATCACAAATAATAGCAAAATATTTAAACAGGAGTTCTCTATCCCACTGTCTTTCATTTGGTTTCACATGTAAGAAATACTTATCTCACACACTGCTATTCTTTGTGTCAAAACTGCAAACATGCTAATATAAAATGCTGGGAAGTGAACAAGGCCCAAGAACATTTAAGTAGAAGACAACTTGAATCTTATGGATTACACTGCCCAGTTTGTGGTATAAAGTACTATACAGTACACTGGTACTGTACTGTACTATTGCTGGGCATCTGACACATTCTCCTTACAAGGGATGGCTTCAAAGTCTGCTGGGACCTCTTCTCCGGAATGAATCTTACGAATATGTTGTTTGAGCTTGTCCTTGATACTGGCAGCGTGAGGGCAATAAGGGCAGCGGAATGGCTTGACGGCTAGATGAGTTGCCAAGTGTCGCTTCAGGTGCCACTGGCGGGCGAAGCAGCGGCCACACGCTGGACACTGGTAAGACATACTGCCTGCAACTTCCTCCATCATCGCGGCCGCCTGCAACACAGAGAACACGTCGGGTCGTCACTAGCTTGTCTCAAGTACCGCGGCCTCCTTCATTATTCCCAAGCCTTCACTTGTACTTGTTCTGTCAACAATAAGCACCGCAACTTGGCCAACCAAGATATTCAGTGTTTATGTAAGATAACTACATAAATACTTGTGTTTTCTCAAAGGTTATGAAAGCATTGTAAAGGAAAACAGACATTATCATCATTCCAAATTCAGAATTATATGGAATCACAAGAAGTCACAAGCTCTTGTTCCCCTAACACTCTCCCTGTTATGTACAAATTTGAAACTGTAAAATAGTTCACATACCTAAATATCTGTTCCTCCATATATATCATTCCTTAATCACTATATTCTCTCATTAAAGTATAACTCTACATGAAAGGCAACATCACCATCAGTACATCCACATTCAGCTAAGACTTGTGTACTGCTTGTCTCACAACAGGTCTGTACTGTAACAGAGAACTAACAACTTAACTGGTTTCACTTCTCTATTGTCTGTAAGTCTCTCTCTCTCTATAAATCAAAGTGTAAATATATATGTGAGTGTGTTTGCTTACCTGTGTTAGGACGGTCTGCATACTTCATGCTGTTTGGTGAACATCTATAACACTGTTTTGGTCTGAATATGTTGAAAATGTCAGCCTTCAGTGTCTATGTTCTATTCTTACTTGCTTGTGTGTGTGTTAGTACAATATCTAAATGTTTATCTGTGTCAGCATTTATTAGTGTACTAAGATGGATGATCTTTTACTGTACTGAGTGTAATGATGTATCTGATGGGTGGTGGGTAAGGATGACAGACCAAGTACAGTTCAAGGATAGTCATCCCTTATCTTTGTTCTAGCAACTGTAGTTTCCACACAAGTTCCTTTTATACACAACATACACAGGAAAGCCTAGGAAGGTGTTGCAACATCATCCGACGCACTCTCATTGGTCCGGACGGCTTCGCTCCCCAGGTATGGGTTCTCCAGGGTGAATCTTGCGAATATGGAGCTTGAGGTTGTCCTTAATATTGGCAGCATGCGGGCAGTAAGGACATCGGAAAGGCTTGATGGCCAGGTGCGTGGCTAAGTGACGCTTGAGGTGCCAGTGGCGAGCGAAGCAGCGGCCACACGCGGGGCACTGGTAGTCAGCCAAGCCTCCGCTGCTGATGATACCCGCCTCCGTCGCCGCCACTCCCACGCCCGCCTGCAAGCACAAGACACGCGTCAACCCCTCTCCCGCCCAACACCAAGTTGCCCACCTCATGACTATCACTTGTCTGTTACCTCCTTACCATCCATCATCATCCATCATCTTAACCATCCATCCTCACCATTCATCATCATCATCATCCTCACATTCACACAACAACAGAAAGAACAAACAGCAGCAGCATCACCCACTAACAACAACAACAACACCAACAACACTTTACATTATAACACAGTAGTACAATACAACAAAGAACAGGTGACATACATTATACTCTACAGCTCTCTCTATCAGCACTCAACAGTCAGGAATGACAACAAACCTGTAAGTCTAACACACTCAAGAGAGACTGACTAAAGGATCTGTACATTCTAATAATCAACATAGGTAATTAACATACTGTACATAATAACAGGACGCTAATGGATGGTGATATATTATTTTAATGATAAAACAAACAGTATTTGCTGAAAGGTTTATTTTTTCTCTTCAATACTGCACAGGGGGTACTCATCTGTCTACTGTATTTCCTGTACTTATTTGTATCTTATTTTATTATTATGTTATTTCTATACAAATATCCTGCATTATATTCTTAGCATAGTGTAAAACTGTATATTTATCAATTTATTATAACTCGAGGACCATAACAGCTTGGGGGTCCTGCTAACACTGTGTAAATTGAAATGTCCGATATTGATCATAAGTTCAATGACTATACACGTGTCATAATACGGTGAAATTCAACGGAAGTATAATTTTTACAGTAACAACAGCGAATAGAATTGATCACACGCACACATTGCATCAATATGGGCTGGTTGGATAGTCAGTAAATCAGTCAAGTTCCCTGTGGTTGGTCAGTCAGTACATCAATCTGCCAAAACTGATAAATAGTAGCAAGGCAAAGGACGACACCACCTCATGTAGATTTTATGAAGATTTGGAACCCAAGCTTACTTCACCTGATGATCAAAAACCCTAATGCTGAATGGAGGTTAAGTGAAGTTAGGTTAGGTTAAGTTGGCTTGGTTAGGTTAAGTTTGGTTAGGTTAGGTTAAATTTAGTTAGGTTAGGTGAAATAAACAGGGGTTCCAAATTTTTCAAGATACCACAATTCAAACTAGTCAAAGTTTAGTACAGTCCCACCGTAACAAATGTCTTACTTTATGATACCCAATAATGTGGGTAACAAGTGAGGTAGTGAAGTAATGAGTTACTCCAAAAATCCCTCAAGAAGAAACTGGAAGCACTTAATCGGGCATGTCTTAACTGTTACATCCCGCCATCCTGTGTTACTTTTCCGCACAATGTTGAGGAGTACCGTACAGTACAGTACAGTGCAGTGTTTGGTTGGGTTCCTTCCTTCAGTGTCTTTATTGTTTTTCTCTTTAATTCTTCTTTTCTTAGAATCAAACCTAAAAAGTTGCAGTACTGTAATTCATTTTAAATCACAGGTTTATTCCCTTCATTTCAAACATGTATACCGGTACACCATAAGTGTGTGTTGAGTATAATGCTTCACCTTTAAGCTATTTTACAGCTTGTGTCAGTCTAGGGGAGACTTGTGTGTGTACTGGTGATGTAGTAGACATGAGACCACAAACGAGACCATTTGCAGTTTTAGCCTACGTGGATCACCTGAAGAAAGTCGTCCCAGATAGTTTCAGGGCGATTAAACTTCTGGTTAGTTAAACTGTGGGGTGACAGATGATCCATAAAGGCTAAAATATGAAAGGCCTCGTTTGTGGTCTCTGTCTTGACTACATACCCGGTATTTGGACTGCATCATTGGTGTGTACCCCTCAAGACTAAGAGGTTGCAACCCAGGCTAATCTTCCTCATTGGACTCTGGCATTAATCAGACAATTAATACAACTCTTCTGCTACAATCTTTTCAGCCAAAATGAGTGTGATCATTGCCATCAGTCTGTGTGAAGTGAGAGTTGGAGTAACGCTTTGATTATTATCGACCATCAATGTCGAGAGTTAGCTTTGATTGCTACCCCCTAAATCTGGATGTACTCACTCACAAGCCTTCTTCAGTCATACAATACTCCATTATTTCCAAGCTAATCACATTAACACCTGGAGAATGAAAATCTTCATGCTATGTTCCAATACTTTTTTTCATTACTTACATATTTAAGTGGTGAGACACAGGGGAGGTGGTGGTGTATAATTTCAGTGTTAATCAGTCAAGTCCCTCTACACTAGGTAGATGACAGAAGGGAAGGGCAGAGACTTAATGGAATTTGTATGTAAATACTGTACAGTTATGGAGTTTTACTGTTTTCTTATTATGTGAGTCACTGAAGTCAACAACCTTACCAACTGTGATAATAAGCCTATGAGTCATATTTTTTCCAAGGTTCCACATAAACATGTGGTCAGTTGAGGTAAAGTACGGTACTGAGCCAAGATAAAGAAAATTTCTTTATTAAAATCATACAAGAAGAGTAGTTCACTGACAGTCACTACAGGAACAACTTAGCAAGGTTTCACCCTGAGTTGGTAACATTCCCACAATATACTTTCAAGTACATATTCAAAGACGAAAATCCTTTTGTTTGGTAAACTTGCAACTTTCAGACACCTTAAAGTATTAAAAACCTTAACATAAAAATCTGAAGAAAACTATAAAACTAAACATACTGTACTAAAGTAACTGCTATCATTCACAGGATGAAACAAGTACATCCCATTGTAATATAACACACATATATATACAGTACAGTACTGTATAGTATATTGTCTCTCCGAGTTTAAGAATTTTCCAGTCTTCAGTGAGCAAACTGTATATCAGTGAATATACAGTACAGCATGTGTTCCCTGGTAAATATCTCCTTTGGTGCTCTGCTGAAGCTGCCATGTATTAGAATCCATTACAATACTGTACTTATACATATGATCTTCACTTGCTACCATGACACACTTACATCTACTGATGTATGTCCTAATGCTGTTACAAGATTATTTTAATTTTTATTAATTTAATTCATCCAGTTAAAAGTCCTGTGAATCATCTTTACATGACCTACTACTGTTTAAAATGTCAACAGACCACACCATTGGAGGTGCTGGTACAGTAGTGTTGTTGTTCAGCTCAACAACACTTAACATCACAAATAATTATCTTCAGACGAAAACAAAAGACTGCTGAATAATGAACATTGTTCAAGTTATTATCTAATGTATAGTACAGTATCTAAAATGTTTTCTTTTCCTTCACTGAGAATTCAAGCTTTATTTTAAAATGACTTTTAAAGCATAAGCCTACATCTTTATAGCACATACATAGGGGTGACCTTACACCAAGTTCTAATAAGCACCTTCTCTTCTTATGTAATAATTACAGCACTTTATTACTGGTTATTTGAACCTACATAATGACAAAACTAACACTAACTTTTGTATCCTCGTCTCACGAGACATCTTAAGTAACTCTGAAGGAATATTATTTGCTGATATGATCAACTATCTCCTTATAAAAAAATAAGTCAGCAAATAAGATTAAGTTTTTATGGTAAGTACTCATGATCTTCAACGGTGATTGTGTGTATTATAACATCCAGCTCTTGTAAGTTTGATGATGTACGTAAATTTGTAATGACAAACATACAGACTGAAAGAAAAACAAATCTCAACCGTCACTGGCCCCTGGGGCCTGTACAGTGAACGAGAAGGGCTTGCCGGGGTGGATGCTACGGATGTGAGACTTGAGGTTGTGCTTGAAGTTGGAGCGGTGAGAACAGTAAGGGCAACAGAACGGGCGAACGTCAGCATGTGCATGCAAGTGGCGTCGAAGTTCCCATCCGCTCAAGAAGGACTTGCAACACACAGTACATACAAAGTTGGAGCTGCCATGAAGGTTGCCACTGGTGCCACTGATGCCGCCAGACCGCCGCTGCTGCAACTCAAACATCAGCGGTGGTGATCTCCTCTGGAACATAAAATATGCCCGCTCTCAGACTGCTGCACCACACAGTATACACCCACCATCAACAATACCACCTCACTGCCATATCTATAACGTCCCTTTAACTTTTACCTTCTGTAGGTCACATTCACATAAGCACCTTCAAAGGTTAATCATCAAAATCTCATGGATTTTTTTTACACCAGCCCAACATATCAAGATATGACAAACATATACTGTAGCCTCAAGAGAATTTAATAACACTATCTCTGCATTTTTCTAGAAGGAGATCTTTCCAGAGCCAAGGCAATGAGCGTTGTGTAAGGACCTGGACCTCAGCAGTAGATGTCGTGGACAGCAAGGATGTGCGTGCGGAGGTTGTGTCTCATGTTGGCACGGTGTGGGCAGTGCGGGCAGGCATAGGGCTTCTCCCCCGTGTGTGTTCGCATGTGCCGCATGAGCCCCTGCCTGCGGGAGCGACCACGGAAGATCTTGCCACAGACCGTGCACGAAACCGATGCGACGAGCAGAGTATTACCGAGCGCTGTCGACCTGGCTTCCTGCAACCCTCTCACCTGCAACAGCAAGACTCAGCTCAGCAATACTTCCTGTGTGCGCATCACAACCCACCATCATCATATCTATATTCATCAACGACCTCAACCCCAAGTCCTTCCCCATCACTTACAAAAACATCTGACCTCTATACTACTGTACCAGACACCTCAACACCATTCACTGTTATAAAATTGTTCAAAAATAAACAAAATTCATGTTTTGTATTAAACTGTAATCAACAACTGCTCCAAAGGTAATTCTAGCACTGTTTACTGTATTGTTTTATATTTTTGTTATTACAGATGAATAAGGTACAGTATATTCAAGGGGATAAATGGTAAGTGAAGAAATAACTCAGCTAAAGATGAGGTTAAGAACAGCCAGTAACATAAGTCAAGAGCGGCCCGGCTTGATAATACAACGGTGACCAAGAACTGGTCTTAGGTTGTGTCAGCACAAGGTGACAAAAAGTTCTCTGTGCACGAATCAATTACTCATCGGGGAGACCTGGCTGACACACCTAATAATATGGTTTAATAAATTTGTCTGGGAGTCAATTTATGAAAATATAGCACAGGTTAAAGAAATATATAGAGGGTATAATAAAGAGGGTGGCCAGGGGCAATACAGCAGTTAAGGGTGGACAGGGGCAATACAGCAGGTAAGGGTGGCCAGGGGCAATACAGCAGGTAAGGGTGGCCAGGGGCAATACAGCAGGTAAGGGTGGCCAGGGGCAATACAGCAGGTAAGGGTGGCCAGGGGCAATACAGCAGGTAAGGGTGGCCAGGGCAATACAGCAGGTAAGGGTGGCCAGGTACAGGGTAAGGGTGGCCAGGGGCAATACAGCAGGTAAGGGTGGCCAGGGGCAATACAGCAGGTAAGGGTGGACAGGGGCAATACAGCAGGTAAGGGTGGCCAGGGGCAATACAACAGGTAAGGGTGGACAGGGGCAATACAACAGGTAAGGGTGGACAGGGGCAATACAACAGGTAAGGGTGGACAGGGGCAATACAACAGGTGTCATAAGTAGACAGTCAGGTGAAACAAGTACCATAGTGATACAACTTAAGGTATACTGTAGTGTTATAGTCACTGAGGTATCAAAGATAAGATGGGTTTAATCTTTTCCATATACTATATTATCCACTGTTTAATTTCACATATACAGTGCAATAAAACCACTCTATGCTGCTATCTCTCCAAGGTAAAATATATTCTATCAGATTGGAACTTAAAGAAAGGAATGAGGCGGATGTAGTTGTGTGAGGTTTTGAGGCTGGCTGTGTCTCTTCACTGTCTCATATTTTACATCGGTGCAACAACAGCTGACAGTACTGTACTTGTGATACTTGTGCCAAACAACATAAACTTTTACTGCAATATTAGACACATAGTGATATCATTACATAGCTGTTTTGGTCCTAGTGGTGTGTTGTACTTAAATATTATCAAACTTTTAACTGCAATCTACTACTGGGGGACATACATATTGACTGTGTCTTGATAGCATAATGTGCCTCTTGCTCTGTGACATTATGGTGCTGTACTGTGTAGCTTAATAATGTATTGTAAATGTGCTACAATATAGTGTAGTGTGTGTGTGTACATAATCACTGTGCCATAACATACTGAAATTGGAAATCTTCGTCTTATTTTGCATGACACATTGGTCTATACAAATTACTGGGCGGTAAATGTACAATGATAAAACAGTACAATGATTTGCTATTCTTTATTTCAAACAAGCTAAAACAGATGACACCTCTCATAAAAATCTAAACCATCAATTGTTTAAATCAAAATAACACTGAACTTATTTACCTAATCACAAAATATATGTAATGAACACCATTGGGGAAAAGTTTGGAGTGATGGACAGTGGTAATGTGACAAACTCTGGCAAATACAGTACGTTGCATAGTGGAGAATGGACGTTGTGACGCAAACAGTTCATAAGGAGATATATAATTACTAGTGACCTTGAAATATGTATTATACGAGATGATGAAAAACCAAACATCATGTGTGGCTGTAACAAGACACTGACCATCATGTATAGTACAGTCAACTGTTCACCTCTCCCCCTGAACCGTGAACCCCAAGACTCAGACTCATGAGCCCTACGCACTAGACTGATAGATCATTCTGTCCATAAATGGTTTAGTCATGAGTCTCAATCTCTGGGTTTGTGGTTCAAGGGGAGAGGCAAATGGACTTTAGTAGTTGACTGTACAGCTGTAAGTCATCATCCACTGAGTGTATGTTTATTTTTCTCCAGGACTTTTATTGCCAACTGTAATATCATTTCCCAGTCAAAATTCTCTCCTTTAAGTATAGTCTACTTTATTTTGAACTAAAACTTCCTCCAATGATTAACAATAGTACAGTGTACTGTACAGTATACAGACCTCAATATGCTACAAATTACCTGCCAAATTGTTAATAAAATTATATATATTCTGCCTCTCTTCACTCACCCACCACCATCTTACTGTAGTGTGAAATAACATATAATATTACTAAATTATATTTCCTGAATAAAGAAGAAAACTCTTAACAACTGAGGAATAAGTGTAATACAGTACCATTAACTGGTCTTACCTAGTCATACTCTTACAATACTAACTGAGCTACAACACATTAATAAATATAACATGATTCACAAACTTGGACTATACAAGGTTCAGTTTCTTAAGATATTCCCACTGGTTGAGGTGAACTGTCCTCAGGTGACGAGTCAGGTGGTGTTTCACGTTCATACGCTTAAAGCACAGCGGACACTGGAAAGGCCTCTCTCCCGTGTGAATGATTCGGTGGCGGTCCACGAGCTGCCGACGGTTCCGCCCATAAAAGAGCTTCCCGCACTCCGGACACTCGAGGGCGCGTAAGGTGTCCCCGCCATACCCTTCCATCTCCCCAGCAACACCCGCCCCAGCCCCCGTTGCATGGCCGCCCATATCCGCGTCCCCACTGCCACCCACCTGGAAAACAGAAGTTGGTCTCAGATGGACTCTGCTTCATCTTGGGTGCAGTGAGGGGAGAAATACCTTCTGGGTTGTCTGCTATGATTTCCACATTGTTATTCTACACTAACAGTACAGATACAGTTTAAATAAAAGGGTTAATGAAATAAATGAGCCACATTATTGAAAATTTTATTTTGAAAAGTGAGAAGCATTGTAGAGGATATCCCACTTTTCACTTTCAAACACAGAGAATTATACTGTACTGTATCACCTTACACCTTCTGCTCTCCATAAGACTATCACAATGTTATCACTATAAACTGTACCTCTACTCTGGCCAATAAATATTTAACACTAAAGTTTCTCTCTCAACAAGAGATGACACTATACATAACAGTAACATTTATATTTAATATTTTCCATTTCTCTCTTGGGAAAAAATTAAATTAAACATAAAAATTCTCTTTATAAGAAAATCATAAAGTCTAAAGTGAAAACCAGTGATAAATTATCCTTGATAATCCAGAAAAGTTTAGTGTCTACCTTGGTACCATATACTGTACTGTACAAGTAGAGTTAAATCCAGTAAAGGAAAACTGAAGAAGCTGTACATTTGTTTGAAGGACCAAAAGCGACAGAGACAAAGTTAATACAAAATGAGGGCATTATTCATAATTTATAAACACAGACTGAGAGTATATTACCACCAATGATTCTGTACAGCAGGAGACCTATACATATCTTTATATAACACAAAGACAATTATTTAAGGGTAAAAATAAAATATCATGAAGCAAATGTGAGACGGTAACTGGCTGCACTAGTATGCACAAAAGGCCTGCACATGGGACTAAGAGCAAAACTATTATGGAGGCACAAAACTTGGTGGACAGGAAGGCTAAGGAGGAGGTGCGCTTTGCAGAAACTCTTGGCCATGACGGCTGAGGACGTGGGCCTTGAGGTTCCACTTGAAGCTGGCACGGTAGTCACATCGCGGACACTGGAAAGGGCGCTCTCCAGTGTGTGTACGCAGGTGACGTTCCAGTTTAGATCGCTTGGCTTGATTCTTGCCCACAAACTTGCGCCCGCACACTGGACACACAAGCACCCGCAGCCCCTGTAACAAGACACACACCTCACTGCCACACCTGTCTCTTCCACCAAGTTCTCTCCCTCAATACAAACTCACTTCAGGAAAGTCTAAATCCCATCACCTTGACCCAAATATTTTTCTGGGATATCACGTAAACTGTTTCTTACATTAAAAAGAAGCGTGGTGGCTCATCAATCTTACCCACTTTGGAACTTTCTCATAATATCAGGGTCAAATTCTTTCACCTCACAGTGGTATGTGTTTTGATACACAGTATTATCTTGAACCAAAAACAAAGATCACTACAGGTAATTTGATAATAAAAGTTAGAGCTTTGTTAATTTTCAGTACTGTACTACACTGTACTGTTCTCAAATACAAAGACTACAGGGTTCATGTGTTGACTGAATCTAAAACCTAAGATGTATTACTGTATTTTTCTGTCACTTTCCTATATACATTAACTGAAAAGCAGAAGATAAACAGACTACTTCAGCAACGGACGGATACAGTACTGCACTGTAGTGCTACTGTACATCTGCAACAAAACTATCTCTCAACATCTACCACTGGTTCACTTAATTTGTTTGCAAAGCCCAGTCAGGTTAATTGTTTCCACATATCCTCTAATCTCTATCACAAGAATGAAGGACATAAGTAACAATACAGCTACAGCCATGCTCCTTTTCACAACAACAGCAACTTATCTACTCAGCTTCAGGTGACTGTTGGCAGGTGACCAGCCTAACACACGTGGACCAACCAAAGTGCAGGAAATGTGGTCAAGGGAGAAACATTGTACTGTATATAGGTAGCACTTCCCCTCTTGGAGGATCATTCAGCTTTCTCCTCCCAGCCTGACAGCATCTCAAGTCAAAAGTAGCAGCAAAGACTTCTACAATCTGATGGTAAATTTCTACCCACACTTTTCATTTTGTTTACACATACTGTACTTAAGGATTTGTGGTGGAATCTTAAAGACCATATTACTGGGATTCATATAATTCATCTAAAGTATTTCTGCCTTTTTAGTCTGGTACCAAAAATGTGTAGATGAGGAGTCACAAGCAAGCCTTCTGATCTGAGGTTTTGTTGTCTCCACCTGGCACAGAGTTACCTATACCAGTGCTGGATACGAGCGCTGACTCCACTGTCTGTCTTCATACATGGCTGGGACTACTGGTTCAGTGTGAACCATCTCCCGTTATCACAGGCCAAGGTCGCCAAATCAAATCAGTTTTCCAGGACCTCCTGATAATTCCTTGGTGCTACTTGTCACCACATCACAGTCCCACTCACCATCAATAGTAAAGACAAAAGGTTAAACTGGCAACTCTAAACTGCACTTACGACATATCTTTCACCCTAAAACTTGAGTTGATACCCTCCCTCAGGTCCTCCTTGGTTTTCACTGGGGAAAAAATTAAGGGGGTGGAGATGCTGAACTGACTTCGCTCAACTTTCTCCTGCCCAACATGTCCTAACTTCTGCTGATGAACCAAGTACTACGTCACCTTTTCCATCTGTTCTTCTGCCTGCTGCATCACCTATCCCTCATGCAGACCTTCACACAACACTCCAACTCCTTCTTGCTGATCCTGTGCCTTCACCTCTGATCCTTAGGTAGAGTTGGTGACAATTTCAATCCAGACAGCTGCCTGATGCACTACAACAGCACCATTTTATGTCCCATGTTTCTTTAACTCTCTAGTGCCTGTTGTGTTGGAGGAGGGGGGAGAGTGTTGTTCCAATACTAGTCCTTATGGTAACAACAGCAGTTACTACACTATAAGTCCCACACAAATGACCCCATCAGAGTAAAGTACAGGAATTTAAGTGGCACTGGATCTTGAAAACATGAACATGGTCTGGTGGCCAACCCAACACAAGTGGACCCAATCAGAGTGTAGAAAGCTTAATGGTATTGGATACTGGGTCTGTTTCTAATGATGCCAACATGGAATGGGAGTAGTAGTGCCACTTGGATTGCCCTGCAGAGGTCAAGGATGGTTACAAGCTCTGATGGCCTCTCACTCGCACAGAACGTTGAAGCTAAGACAGTTGTTCCGCTACGAGTGGCAACTCCTATAGGTACGAAGGAACAGCATCAGCACCATGCCTGGCCTCTATGTGGGTCTTGAGGTTGCCCTTCCTGTTGGCACGATGGGGACAAAGTGGGCACTGAAACGGCTTCACCCCGGTATGGATCTGCATGTGGCGATCCAGGTTTGATTTGCTGTTTCTGCCATGGAACCTCTTGGTGCAGATGCCACAGGCCAACTCCCTCCATATGTTTGGTCCATCACCGTCGACACATGTTCCAGCGTCCAGGTCCGTGGGAGGGGCATGTGAGGGAAGAGTCGAGGAGTGCCGTGGAGCTACGAGGCCAGAGCGTGGGGATGTTGGAGTGATCTCTCTCTGAAACACAAGAGCAAAGCCTCCGTTTAGGCCCTCTTCTCTCTTGATGGCTTCACTATAACTTCTTGCACACTCCTCACAAAGCCTTCCACTCCCCACCAGTATCTTTATCACTGATACACAAAATAAAAATATAAAAAGAATAAAAATAAATCCACAATTTTTATTATAAATAATTATAAATATCCTTTACCTTTGGGGAAAAAATAAAATGGGTACCAAATTTAAAGCAGGTGGCATCACACAGTATGTCTTTGTAAGTAACTCGTGAGTACTGCCGATACACATCAACCACTTCCCCTCGGCAAATATTTCAACAAATTTTTGAAAACATTTCAAGGTTTAATTTTACAATCTATGCCCAAACATTGCTTCAGGTCAAGTGATGAATGAAAGTTTCCTCTACAGTTGCTTCTGAACATTCTTCCTGAGCCAAATATTCTTTTAAATACCAGCTAGTTACTGTAAGTGACTAATTCAGCACATGTTTGTCAATTTAATCACCAGCTTTGCTCCGGCCCTCAGTGGGGTTATAATGACCATCTTATCTGACCCTGAGGTAAAAGTTGGGGTCAATAACATTCACTTGTATGTCTTATTAAATACTAAATCAAACTCAACAGGATATCCATGTAACGTATTACCCAAAAATGTTTCCCACTATCATGAAAAGGGGAAAAGATGTGAGAGAATATCATTATCTTTTTACGATGGTGAAGAGACACCTGTAATCTTTCTCATCGATAGAAATTAAATATAGAGGGTTTGAATCTATCTACAACTGTTGTCTTCATTACAGTACAGCATTAGAAAAGAATACCATAAACAAATTTAACCCTTAATCAGTAGCTAAACATCCCCCCCCCCCCACAATAAGAAAAAAAAATGGAACTCGAGGAACATGAGACTTCCAGAGAGGATGGCCACCGTACAAGGGTCACCTATTCACTGTCAGGCCAACATTAACACTCCCTCCTCTACTAGCTGTCATAAATAGGCTGTTGTATCAAATACTGTACAAACCTTTGTTCCCTTCACAATTTTTTTCTTCCCATCTTGTTGTAGAAAAGCCATAATGCTATACCTTTCCTTCTATGTATAGTATACCCCTGTAGTATAGTACTATAGTATAGTATAGTGTAGTATAGTATAGTATAGTACTGTATAGTATAGTATAGTATAGTATAGTATAGTATAGTATAGTATAGTATAGTATAGCATAGCATAGTATAGCATAGCATAGCATAGCATATAGGTCTTCAGCTGTAAGTTGGGTTGGGGATGGGTTTGGGTTCAATTATGTTATGTTATATTAGGATAGAATAGATTAGATTAGATTAGATTAGATTAGATTAGATTAGATTAGGTTAGGTTAGTCAGGAGTAAAGTGTTAGAGTGACTTTGTGTAGTACTGTACAACTCTCCAAGAGAAATAAAGAAATAAAGAAAGAGAAAAAGCCTCACCAAACTCATAAATCATAACACAACCCTACAGCCTTATGGGATTGTAGTGAAGGCATGTTGGAAGGCAGGATAGAAATAATGAGATCTATTTGGATATTTATTAGAGTGGATCAAAATATTCTCTATAGAGTAACTGTAACATAACATCCAGAACCAGAGTACAGACACAACACAGGGTATTTGACCGCTATATAGACACAAGTAGGAAGTAGACAGTCCCGTACAGTATAATATATAACCTAATCATGAACCATCAGTGATCTCCTGTACTTTATACTACACAAATCAACAATATGGTCATTGAATTAACTATCCTCAAAAACAAAGCATTACTGTACTTTACTCGTTAAATCTTTAAATGAATAAAATAATAACATCCCAAAACAAATGAAAGTTAACTATCATTATTACAATACAAAATACCTAGTACAGTATCTAGCTTACAGGTGATGTTCTTGATAATAGTTAACATTTAACTGTTACTCTCAGTCTGTCTTTCATCATAATTATTTAGCACAGTGAGCAGAGGGTCTGGAACACAACATGAATTAATAAACACTTTTACTAAAGTCACACAGAGGAAGTGTTATTTGTAAAAAGAAACAGCTATTGTTGATGACTGTATCCAGTTTGTTCACAGCCAGCGACAGAACCCGGCTGATCTCTGTTAACAGACTCTTGGCGGACATTTAAAAAATCAGAAAAGGGGCTGAAGGTAGACTGGTGATGCTCGTGGGCAGCGTCCTGGACTTGGTCAACGCCGGCATCACAGTAGTCCATCTTCTGGCCGCTTCTCTGCCTGGACTCTCTGCCCCCCGGGTCGTGATCTCTCGTTAGTTTCGAGAGTCTGTGACTGCGGTTTGAGTCTTCCTGTTTAGATGTTTGGGCAGACTTGTGGTAAGCATTGGGGTTATGTTCTTGGGAGGATTCTTGGGAGCCAGTGATGGACTCTGATAAAAACCCAAGAGTTGAGTCTTGAGATATGTTGAGCTCTGGAGTCTGTGCCCTGCTGTAAAATGTTACTTGAGAGCCGTGACGGGACTCAATGTGCATCTTTAGGTTACTCTTACGGTTAGCCCGGTGTGAACAGTGCGGGCACTGATAGGGCTTCTCCCCGGTATGGATTTGAAAGTGACGGTTGAGAAGGTAGTTTCGCTTGGTGCCGTGAAACTGACGTCCACACACGGGGCACTGTACAGTGGCCCTCCCCGCTGCACCGCCACCATCGCTGCCGTCGCCTCCGCCTCCCTGTGGCCCCTGCCGACGAGAAGACACGCTTCAGCCACCTGTACATTCCACATTGCGGTACATCTCGTCTTTCCTCACATCAAGCATCATATAAGCCCAGGTTCCTGTTTAATTCTCAACACAACACTACTGTATATGAAATACTGATTAAGTACTGAACTGTATCTTAAAGTGAATGACACATCACTGGTGCCTCTACAACTGGTCTTTATCACCCGTCACTCAGGTCATCAAAAACATGATTCACTAATTTCTTACTGAGATAAAGTGTTGTTTGTTACTAGTTATAAATACTGAGAACCTGAGAGCCTGAGAGATCAGAGATCAATCACACAAACTTATGAGTAAAATCTAATCCACAACACATATGCAGGATACACAAAGCTATCTTTCACTTTCTTTTGTTTCTTCACCAATAAACGTCTTTAAAAAAAAATCTTGATATACAAACACACAATCCTTATTACATTAGCTTAAATTTCAATGAAAAATATAAATCTACTTATAAATTCTTTAAGCGTAGAACTCCGCCCTCAACCGGTACTTTCTGCTTAAGATCTTAGCACTTGACAAACTCACTAGCTACCTTATCCATGAACTATGATATAATTAATGTTCTACTCCTTCCCTCACTATACTGTATGGTGCATCAACTTCAGAATCTTATGATCATATCCCTGAGGTTTACCCCTGAAAGTGTCTAGTGTTTAGGGTGGAGACTTATCATAGGTCAAAGAACACAAGGTCAACAAGATAACCGAGTGACCTTTATACCTTTTCTCAGCATCACTGTCTGCTTCAGAATGACTGTTGAGGCATCTTAAGTCGTCGCCCATAGGATACTACGATAATGTAAACTTAACTCATTCACTTTTAATATTTTATTTGCCTTAAGCCAGACAATTTTATTCAGCTCAGAGGCATTAAAAGTACATTCTCTGCAGATTGATGGCATCTTCAGTCAAGTACACACAGGCTACTCTGATAGTGACATCTCAAGGTATAAATAGAAAAAAAAATCCCCAACTCCTGGTAGCTTCTGCAACCACAAAGATAAAATAATATTTCTTAAACCCTAAACTTTCCTTTTACTGACAATAACCTAGACTCACAGCTTATGGATTACTGCTAAAAAAAAATGATGATGGTGATGATGAAACCTAAAAAATCAGAATGAGAAAGAAGGAAACTTAAACAGTGAAGAGAATGGCTGATGTTTCAAGAGGTGAGCACCACCTGAGGGTCGTGGGTCCCTCCTCTAGTATACAAGACCAAGTTACCACAACACATCACAATCTACCTGCCAGGATGCACAAACATCCAGGACATCATTAATGTTAATTCAGTTATTCTCTCTTACAGATCATCACCTGTTGTTGATGTATGTCTTTCCATGATCAAGGTAAGTGTGGGAATATGAATAACACATCTCAGGAAAACAGAATCTTTATTTACAAGTATAATTATCAGAA